CAAGGATCTAGATCCAGGACCGTCCTAGCAGATCCTAGGATCGGACCGGACTGGATTCACAATTTAACATCCCTAACCAAAATTCTAAAATTATTACTGTATTATTAGTTTTTATATGCGATTCTGTCTAGTAACGATAATTAAAAAAAAAACCCATTTCTACCTAGTTTATACATAAAATTTTAAATGCGTTGACTATTTGATATAATATTATGAAAATTTTATACGTACGTCTCGTGTTAAACATTTACGATAATCTTTATCGAAAGTTTTAATTGTATATGTAACGCATTTTAACATTATCATCCAAAAGATGTGAATTATAATGATAGTGTTCTACTGAATCTATTTCAAACGATAAAATATTGATAATAAAAAAGATAAGGTAGATTCTCAGCTTATACTTTTTATTTTATCCGTTATCAAATCTCCAATAAAAAAATCTTGAAAAACAAGAATAAAAAAGGAGTGTTTAGATTGTGGAATTAGAAGAGCATTATATAAAATATTAATAGAATTTAATGAAGATATGCATGAATCATTGTGGCAGCTTACGCTGAGATTTTGATCTATTTTATTATGAAATTATAAAATTTTTTGAGACTTTTTGTGGTCTTTTTCTCATATTTAGGTTAGAATCTAGGGTTAGCCTTCATTGTTTTTCTTTTTTTTTTTAGGTGCCGCACGGCCGATCCACAGTTTTGTACAATAGTCGGATTTATTTGGCTATAAAACCAAAAATGACAAGAAAGTAGCAAGGACAAATAACAAACTATTCGCCCAAAACACGACTTCGTCAAGTCCTCTTATTACAGACCAGCTATACAAGGAGTTCAAAAAATAAAGGACTCAATATACTTCCCACACTTTCGATAACACTCAAAGCACCTAATATTTGTCCTGCTTGTGTAGGCAAGACAAACGTAGTAAATAAAGTTCTGACTGCTGGTGTTGCTATCGTGGATAAACTGTTTACCACACAAGCAAAGTAAAACATATTTGGTACTATTGCAATGGCATATAACGCGAATCCGGCAACTTCCATTATTAATCCAGCTCTCATCATCGTAAGATCTAGAGTTCGTGAATATGAAGTCTGATATTTTCCTTGTAAAATACGAAACAAAGGTAAGAGGACTATTAAAGCCATAAATCGGGTTAATGCTTGGAGAGTGAAAAAAAATCCGTTTTCTAAAGTTGACCAGCCAAACTTTTGTGTTGTATATAGTGCAATTATATCATTTTGGCCTATTTAAACAATAAAAATAATGTTATTAATTAATAATACATATTTAACATTATTTAAAAATAAATCTAAACCATTACCAGCTTGTGACAATTTATATATAAAATAAATTATCGAAAGAATATACAGCGCATTCCTTTTCCATATATTATTTCTAATGCTTCCAGAATATATAGGTGTTTGATTAAGAATAATCAAAGCTGAAAATATATATTTTGGAGATGGTATAGAAGTTGAAGATTCGTTTTGATGACGTAGTTCTGGCGAAAGTGATTCTGGAAGTATAAATGATGCAAAAATAAAAAATATAGAGAGTGCACCAACAACCACATAAAACACTGAAAGTGCTGATCCCGTAGCCTAAATAATAACAATAAGTGTGAAGACAATGATATAAAGTTTCTTTGAGCAATATCTTGAAATATACCTCAACAATAATACCTCCTAACACTGGACCAAGTGCCATTCCACTATATGCTGAGGCATGCATAAATCCAAATGCAACACTCCTATTTTCAGGTTTAGTACAATCGCTTATATAAGCATGACATGCCGTGTTTATAGCAATCACACCTCCGAGTAATCCTTCGATAATTGCTCCAATAAATAAAAAGTTGCCGCCAACAATTTTCAGATAATTAGACGTAAAAATTACAATAGAACATGCGAACATTATACCGAGTGTTGATAATCTATACACAAATCTACGACCCTTAAAATCTGAGAGTGTTGAAATGTAACCTATAGATAATGTCGCTATAATGAATAAATATCAGAAAAGAATAAAATAAAATAAAATAAATTGATATTAGATATCAAATCTTGATGTAATATGAAATTAAAGTCAATGTCAAGAAAAGATGTCAGCTCTTTTACAACCTGAAACATATAAACACATCTGATACAACATCAAACGATGTGAAGCCAATGCGGAAATTTGTGGAATTTTACAATCTTTCTCTATCGATTTGGAAAAAACATCCGCGCTATTCACGTAATTGTCATTTGATTCATAATACTCTAGGCATACAATATTCAAGACAACTTGCACTGACAAATGAAATAACACGCATAAATTATATTTAATGTGAAAGTTTCTCAACAATTTACTAAAAGAACGGAGATAACTGCCGTAACATTCGAACCTAAAGGCGCTATCATAGAAGTCATAATAGTTGATAAAGTGAAACTAAAGACAATCATCCATAGAACATGAGGTTTTCGAAGATTTTGTATGTATGACGATGATTCTTGGTTAGTAAGATCATTTGACCCTTCTAGAAGCAATGGACTATTTTCTGTTGCTTCTTGAGAATCATTGTGTTTTCTCGAATTTGACATTAGTTTAATAATAATTTCATATAAAAAATGTGTTGAGAAAGTGAAAAATAAATCGAACTTTTTGATCGAGAACTAAATTAGGGGTTCGCACAAATTATGTAAGCTGCAAAATTGGTTCTTTTTATAGCGAACAGGGATAACCCTGATTGGTTAATCACTTATGTATAGTAATACAAACCTGATTCTTTAAAACTTCTTGCGAAGATTTTTCAATAACCTGTTAATTAAGTCTAATTTAATTTTACACCTTTGTAAAATTAATCAATTTTTATTAAATCTGTTTTTCTTACTTAAGCTGTCTTGCCTTTTTTATTAAGCTCAAACTTTAAATTACATATTGGGGACGCCCATAGCAAAAGGGGGGATGGGACTATATATTATATAGTCCCATCCCCCCTTTTGCTGTGGGTGTCTCCATATAGGCTTCCGGAACACCCATTGAGTCCAAGTATTTCAATACGTAGCAAAGGGTAAGTAGCTAATTTAAGACACAACTCTCATAGTTTTTTAATGCTATAATTATTTTCAACACTTATAGTTAAATTAATTGTCCGGA